ATAATCTGAAAATGTCTCTGAGGAGTACGGATAGCAGTGCCGATACCTCTGAAGTTGCCAAGGTGTGCATAATCATGAAAAAATAAAAAAATAAAAATAAAAAAATAAAAAAAATCTACATTTTGCTTCCCCTTGCCTCCATATGTAATGCTAGGAAATGTAATCGTCATGTGAATACAATTTTGTGTTGCATATTCAAAACACTAAAGGCATATGGTGGAGGGGGTTCCCCAAGTTCCAGCTCCTTTATTATTCGGATGGATGAATATAACCAGTGGCTTTCAGTGCAATCATCGATACCATGCTAAGGTACCAATCATGTTCTTCTTGTTTCTCTTTAATTAACAAGGTCATACTACCCCTCCTCTTACAGAGAGAGAAAAAAGACAAAAGGTAGGAAAAAGAAACAGAGGTAGCACAGGACTATGGTGGGTACCTTGACAGTTACAAGAACGGACAATCAGGAAGCAGAGATAAAATCGAAAGTAGAGAAGAAATCATCGAGCATCATAGAATTCTCACGTAATATTTGAAGCGAATGGTTACTGAAGTAAACAAAATGCCGCAGAAAGGATCGTCGTTTCGCAACCGTTGGCTATATGCTGGAATGTATTAAGAAGAATGGTCGAACCACTTGACAATGCTGATTGCTACAAGAAAGGCCACAGGGACTATAACTCAGGGAAGATCAGAATATTATATTTTGATTGCTTATGCTTGTATAATTTTCTTGACAATGTTTTCTTGATATTAGCATTCACCAAGTACTGTACTGTATTTGCTATTCTTCTTCTGTACTCTTCTGGGATGAAGAATGATCAATCAAGTTTTCGTTAATATTAGTAATTCATTTTTTCTCAATCAAGTTTACCAATACGGTCAGTAGTTCTAATGCCTCTGCTTTTGTAGCAATTAGAATTAGAGGTGTCGTAAAGGGTGAGCCACTCAAGTGTAGCCTTTACTTGGCTCAATTTGGGTATTGGCCAATTCGTCAAAATTTTAGTGGTATGCATCTACATAACCATGGATTTTTTATGAGGCAAAGCTCGTGTTTCATGTCCTTGAGTTCAAGAGCATTAAACTTTGAATGTTGACTAAACGTGTTTTTGCAAGGTACAGAAACTTTGAAACCTTAAAGAGGGGCAATACTAGAAATAGTTGGAAAAACTCTGGATAGACATAGATTACTGTAAAATAACTCACATCGATTGCGTATGCTTCATTCTTGCTTTCTTTTGAGGATAATTCTACATGTATATTATAGTATCCATTAGGGTGTTCATAATGTATTTGCAGAATTTCATGATTGGAGGGTTGAAAAAACTATTTTTCAACTCTCCAGTGATGTTATGTCACTTGTACCTTATGGATACCATAATGTACATATAGCATAACTTTCTTTTGAATGTTTGGAACTCTAATATCCTGTTTGGTTTAAATAAAAATTCAAATTTTAGTGAATTTTAATAAAAGTTTATGAAATAGTTGAAAAGTTGATTAAAAAAAAATTATGGTATTTATTGAAAATAAGTTTGAAAAAATTGAAATATAAAAATCAAGGCCATACAGGGCTACAATAGAAATTTCATTTTGTATACTTTTCTAAACTAATTTTCAATTAAATATTGGTATGTGCTAATTGTCACGCCAATGGCTTTTATTGAATCACATTATGGCTATGATTCCCTTTGGATGAATGCAATTAGTTACAAGATTTTGCTATATGGACAGGCCTCTCCAAATGTTCCGGCCAATAGGGGGCCGACATCCAAGAAGATTAGTTCTATATTTAGTCTCCATTTGGTACCAATTTTTTTCAAAATACATTTTCCTTTCTCTTCTTTCCAACTACACATTTTTTAGTAAAATAATATTACACGTAAATAAAAAAAATTTCTTATTTTTCAACTATACACTTTCTATTGATTTACTATTCAAAAATACATTTTTACATAAAAATGTCTCTTAAATACCCCTTAGCATTTGGGCAAAAAGTGGTAGTTTAGTTTACATTAGAGCCACAAAGCACAAAAAAATGGGGTGGTTTTAAAGAAGCCAACAAGACAGCTATAGAGGTTGACCAATTTCCACTTATTTGGTCGTCCCTCCACAAATTTACTTTATAAATAAATCATTTTAGTTCCTGTTTTATTTAGTTTTAAAAAAAAAAAAAATAGACGATAGTTTAAATTAAAATTTATAATTTATTTTATAGAATTAAAAAAATTTAATTACATATCTGATTTTTGATAAAATCAATCATGAACTTTACCTTAGTCCACAGCATGCAGGCACTGATTAACAGTA